GGGTCACACGCCAGGTCAGCAACAGGAGGTCAGATCTAATAAGGGGCATCCAGGGAGAGAGGTCAGGCAAGCAGGGATCTGGGCAGGAGAAATCAGCAAGGTCAAAGGCAATCCGGGTCAATAACTTACTAGGCACAGGTACAGGATCACAGGGAGCAGGTAAGACCAGAAGGCAACGAAATGACAGCTCAGGGACCTTTAAATATCCCGCCCTGCGCTGCCATTGGTGCCCAGCGGGCGGCCGCGGCTTCTACTGCGCATGCGCGAACTCGAACGCCGCGGCCGGCCCGGACCTAGTGCCCGTGCACTGGGTGGAGCAGTGCGCCTGCGCCGGGACCATCGCGGCAGGGATCGCGGAGATCCCTGACAGTATGTCTCTGCAATATTAAAAATGAAGGCACAGTCGCAGTTTAAAAACGTCCCTTCAAATTTCAGGTGGCTGTGAGTGAAGTTTCAATGAAAGTTAATGGGAGGGGTGAGGTGCAAACAAATGGTCATATTGTGAAAACTATCAGGACTGGCTTAGAGGTGAACATTTTTAGTGACAGCAGGGTTAGCTGAACGTTTTGATATAAGATATGTGTAGGTGGGCTTGAAAATGACAGAGTGATGGCAGTTTACAAATCATGTTCTGATTTTTCCTTCCACACTCTAGCTTTGCTCTGCTCCCACTCTAGATGCATCATTCATTCCTATGGGAAAATTTCACCACAAAAACCGCGATATTTCGTGAACCATTTGGCGAAACGTTCCACAAAGTAATAGCAATCCGATCGGGAACAATCCGCACGTTTCGGTATATTACTTGTCTTTGTAGTGTAAACACTGTGGGAGGAGTTAGCGTGGCAAATATGGCTATAATAATAAGAATATATATGTGAGATAACAGGAAGTGGTCTTGCTATGCAGGAACACTTAATCAGGGGGTCTACAAACATTTGAAACAAAGGGCCAGTATACTGTCCTTCAAACTCTAGGAGGGGCTGGATTGTGGCCATTGGGAGTAAAAAAAACACCCTAGGCTTGGTGGTCAGTGGGGGGAACAGTGCCCCATCACTGGTGTCAGTGGCATAATTAGTTCCCCATTTCTGGTATCCGTGGGAGGAACAGTGCCCCGTCGCTGGTGTCATTGGGAGGAACAATGCCCCGTTGCTGGTGTCATTGGGAGGAACAGTACCCTGTCGCTGGTGTCATTGGGAGGAACAGTACCCTGTCGCTGATGTCAGTGTGGGAGGAACAGTGCCCCATTGCTGGTGTCAGTGGGAGGAAAAGTGCCCCGTCGCTGATGTCAGTGGGAGGAACATTGCCCCATTGCTGGTGTCAGTGGGAGGAAAAGTGCCCTGTCGCTGGTGTCAGTGGGAGGAACAGTGCCCCATCGCTGGTGTCAGTGGGAGGAACAGTGCCCCATCGCTGGTGTCAGTGGGAGGAACAGTGCCCCGTCGCTGGTGTCAGTGGGAGGAATGGTGTCCAGTCGCTGGGATCAGTGGAAAAAACAGTGCCCCAACATTGGGATCAGTGGGAAGAACAGTGCCCCATCATTGGGATCAATGGGAAAAACAGTGCCCCATCATTGGGATCAATGGAAAAACAGTGCCCCATCATTGGTGTCAGTGGGAGGAACAGTGCCACGACATTGGGATCAGTGGGAGGAACAGTGCCCCAATGTTGAGATTAGTAGAAGGAACAGTGCCCCATTGTTGGTGTCAGTGGAAGGATTAGTGCCCCATCGTTGGTGTCAGTGGGAGGAATATTGCCCCATCATTGGTGTCAGTGGGAGGAATATTGCCCCATCATTGGTATCAGTGGGAGGAATAGTGCCCCATCATTGGTGTCAGTGGGAGCAATATTGCCCCATCATTGGTGTCAGTGGGAGGAATAGTGCCCCATCATTGGTGTCAGTGGGAGGAATAGCGCCCCATCATTGGTGTCAGTGGGAGGAATAGTGCTCCATCATTGGTGTCAGTGGGAGGAATAGTGCCCCATCATTGGTGTCAGTGGGAGGAATAGTGCCCCATCATTGGTGTCAGTGGGAGGAATAGTGCCCCATCGTTGGTATCAGTGGGAGGAATAGTGCCCCATCATTGGTATCAGTGGGAGGAATAGTGCCCCATCGTTGGTGTCAGTGGGAGGAATAGTCCCCCATCATTGGTGTCAGTGGGAGGAATAGTGCCCCATCATTGGTGTCAGTTGGAGGAATAGCGCCCCATCATTGGTGTCAGTGGGAGGAATAGTGCCCCATCATTGGTGTCAGTGGGAGAAAGTGTCCCATCATTGGTGTAAGTGGGAGGAATTGTGCCCCAAGGGATGGATAAAAGCAAGCAAAGGGCCACATCCAGCCTGCGGGCCGCAGTTTGGAGGCCCCTATAATAGATGGTAGATTCTTATTTCTGTTCTATAGATTGAAGGTTTTCCATACAATCTGTCTGTAGGACTATTCATACCCAGGGGCGGACTGACCATTCGAGCACTCGGGCACTGTCCGAGGGTCCGGGGTCAGTAAGGGGCCCAATGAAATGCCCCTGGTAACTTTTATAGGCTTTTTTGGGTGTGCTTTGAGTGTGGGCAAGGACATAGGGGCCCCATGATCCCCTATTATCCGGGACCCCCCATGAGTTGTCAGTCCGCCCCTGTTCATGTCTATACATTATGGTCGCATGCACTCCCATGTGTTATATTGGGGCTCAACATCGGCGTTTTTTGTGTCGGCGTTTAGCAGCAAATAGCGGGATAAAGCGGGGCTCCACCCAAAAGGGGAAATTCTGCTTTAAGCCTTTGTCCCCCCACTCCCTTTTAAGGACTGGCATTTTGGGGAGCAGGGAGGGGGTACCTGAATTTGACACTTCCTCTGTGATCGTCTAGGGTGATCGGAAGCAAAAGTTGTCCTCCCCGTAGTCTTCTGGAACACGACAGGTCCCAGAAGACTACGGGTCCATTCACAAAATGCAGCGCTACTCGCACATGCGCAGCGGGCACCCGGCTGTGAAGCCGCAAACTGTCACAGCCGGGTGCCCACACTGAAGGAGACAGGACGGCTGATCAACCCACCCGGTGTGAAGACACCGCGAGATCAAGGGACAGGTGAGTGTCCATTTTTTAAAAGTCAGCAGCTACATCTACTGATCACTACATTGGTGTCACTGGGAATGATCGCCGCCATTACTAGTAAAAAAAAACAAAAAACATTCCAGTATCTATACCGCCATTTGTAAAGGCTATAACTTTCCAATGTTAACCAATTAATTTACACGTATCGGGATTTTTTTTTTTTTAGCAAAGACACGGAGCAGAATACATTTTGGACGAAATTTATGACGAAATTTGATTTCACCCCCTTCCAGTCCAGACACTTTCCCCCCCTTCCAGTCCGGACACTTTCCCCCCCTTCCAGTCCGGACACTTTCCCCCCCTTCCAGTCCGGACACTTTCCCCCCTTCCAGTCCGGACACTTTCCCCCCCCTTCCAGTCCGGACACTTTCACCCCATTCCAGTCCAGACACTTCCCCCCCCCCTTCCAGTCCGGACACTTTCCCCCCTTCCAGTCCCGGACACTTTCCCCCCTTCCAGTCCGGACACTTTCCCCCCCCCCTTCCAGTCCGGACACTTCCCCCCCCCCTTCCAGTCCGGACACTTTCCCCCCTTCCGTCCGGACACTTTCCCCCCCTTCCAGTCCGGACACTTTCCCCCCCCCCCTTCCAGTCCGGACACTTTCCCCCCCTTCCAGTCCAGACACTTCCCCCCCCCCTTCCAGTCCGGACACTTTCCCCCCCTTCCAGTCCAGACACTTTCCCCCCCTTCCAGTCCGGACACTTTCCCCCCTTCCCCCACTTCACCCCCTTCCAGTCCAGACACTTCCCCCCCCCCTTCCAGTCCGGACACTTTCCCCCCCTTCCAGTCCAGACACTTTTCACCCCCTTCCAGTCCGGACATTTTCCCCCCCTTCCAGTCCGGACACTTTCCCCCCCTTCCAGTCCGGACACTTTCCCCCCCTTCCAGTCCGGACACTTTCCCCCCTTCCAGTCCCGGACACTTTCCCCCCCTTCCAGTCCGGACACTTTCCCCCCCTTCCAGTCCGGACACTTCCCCCCCCCCTTCCAGTCCGGACACTTTCCCCCCCTTCCAGTCCGGACACTTTCCCCCCCCCTTCCAGTCCGGACACTTTCCCCCCTTCCAGTCCGGACACTTTCCCCCCCCTTCCAGTCCGGACACTTTCCCCCCCTTCCAGTCCGGACACTTTCCCCCCCTTCCAGTCCGGACACTTTCACCCCCTTCCAGTCCGGACACTTTCCCCCCCTTCCAGTCCGGACACTTTCCCCCCTTCCAGTCCGGACACTTTCCCCCCTTCCAGTCCGGACACTTTCCCCCCCCTTCCAGTCCGGACACTTTCCCCCCCTTCCAGTCCGGACACTTTCCCCCCCTTCCAGTCCGGACACTTTCCCCCCCTTCCAGTCCGGACACTTTCCCCCCCTTCCAGTCCGGACACTTTCCCCCCCTTCCAGTCCGGACACTTTCCCCCCCTTCCAGTCCGGACACTTTCACCCCCTTCCCCGGACACTTTCCCCCCTTCCAGTCCGGACACTTTCCCCCCCTTCCAGTCCGGACACTTTCCCCCCCTTCCAGTCCGGACACTTTCCCCCCTTCCAGTCCGGACACTTTCCCCCCTTCCAGTCCGGACACTTTCAACCCCTTCCAGTCCGGACACTTTCCCCCCCCCTTCCAGTCCGGACACTTTCCCCCCCTTCCAGTCCGGACACTTTCCCCCCCTTCCAGTCCGGACACTTTCCCCCCCTTCCAGTCCGGACACTTTCCCCCCCTTCCAGTCCGGACACTTTCCCCCCCTTCCAGTCCGGACACTTTCCCCCCCTTCCAGTCCGGACACTTTCCCCCCCTTCCAGTCCGGACACTTTCCCCCCCTTCCAGTCCGGACACTTTCCCCCCCTTCCAGTCCGGACACTTTCACCCCATTCCAGTCCGGACACTTTCCCCCCCTTCCAGTCCGGACACTTTCACCCCTTCCAGTCCGGACACTTTCCCCCCCTTCCAGTCCGGACACTTTCCCCCCCTTCCAGTCCGGACACTTTCCCCCCCTTCCAGTCCGGACACTTTCCCCCCCTTCCAGTCCGGACACTTTCACCCCCTTCCAGTCCGGACACTTTCCCCCCCCTTCCAGTCCGGACACTTTCCCCCCCTTCCAGTCCGGACACTTTCACCCCCTTCCAGTCCGGACACTTTCCACCCCCTTCCAGTCCGGACACTTTCCCCCCCTTCCTGTCCGGACACTTTCACCCCCTTCCAGTCCGGACACTTTCCCCCTTCCTGTCCGGACACTTTCCCCCCCCCCTTCCAGTCCGGACACTTTCCCCCCCTTCCTGTCCGGACACTCCCCCCCCCCTTCCAGTCCGGACACTTTCCCCCCCTTCCAGTCCGGACACTTTCCCCCCCTTCCTCTCCAGGCCAATTTTCAGCTTTCAGCTCTATCACACTTTGAATGACAATTGCGCGGTCATGCAACACTGTACCCAGATGAATTTTTTAGCATTTTTTTTGAGACAGATAAAACTTTATTTTGGTGGTATTTATTCACCGCTGGGATTTTTTTTTTCTGCTATGTAAATGAAAAAGTCTTAGAAAAAAAGTATTTTTCTTATAAAATTTTGCAAATAAATAATCTTTCTTCATAAATCTTGGCCAAAATTTATTCCGTTATCTTTTTAGTAAAAAAAAAAAAAATACCCCAAATTAGTTTATAACCAAAAATTCTACTTTTTAAACATTTTTTTTTGCATTTTTATTTTTTTTTTTATATTATTATTTATGTTTTTTTTTTTTACATACCGTCACCCTAGCAGTACAGTGTCACCATGGTGACACTGTACTACTTGTGGGTGGAGATGAAGATTTTATTTTTTTTTACACTGATTGCTTTTACACCCATAAAGGCTGTAAAAGCAATCATTTCTCCTTCTCTCTGGCTATTGAGAAATACTGTGTGAGCTGTGATTGGTCACCGCTTGTCACATGGTACAAGGCTGTTGTGAATGGCCCTGTACCATGTGACCTCGGTGATCATTCACAGATTTCACACGTAGTAAGCAATGATGTCAGAAGTGACATCTTGCTTACTACTATGCATGTGGTCACTGATTGGCCAATCAGTGATCACATGATCGGGACCTCACACAGGAGGTCCCGTTCGACGATCGGTGTTCCACTGTGTCCGGAGGATCGCGGTGCTCCCAGAGAGCGCACACAAGCAGGGGGCGGGGAGGCCGTTGATATGCATGGGCTGGATGGGAGGTGGATAACATTTTTTTACTGGACATGTTTAACAGCAAAAAGTCCAAAATATTTTTTGTCAAGATTGTCGTTCTGTTTTTGTTTATAGTGCAAACAATTCAAAGTGCACAGGCGATCAAATATCACCGAAAGAAAGTTTGTGGGGAAATAAAGGACATGAATTTCATTTGGGTGCTACCATGTACCCCAAACTCAGTAACATAGAGAGCGCCGGGATCTGGGGGCCCCTTTGTTATAGGGGGCTTCTAGATTCCAATAAGCCCCCCTCTTGCAGACCCCCCACAACCACCACCCTGGGTGGTGGGGAAGAGGCCCTTGTCCCTATCAACATAGGCACAAGGTGCTTTGGGGGGGAGCCCCCCCCCTGCCCCAAACCACCCCCCCATGTGGAGGGCATGTGACCTGGTATGGTTCAGGGGGGGGCGCTCACTCGTCCTTTCCCTTTTCTGTCCTGCTGGGCTGCATGTTTGGATCCTGGTATGGATTTTGGGGACCCCACGCCCTTTATAAAAACATTTTTGGTGTGGGGTTCCCCTTAAAATCCATACCAACCCAGACGGGCCTGGTATGCATTGGGGGACCCCCACGCCTTTGATTTTTACATTTTTTTATTGACACCATTCATTTTTTTACATTCAGCTGTTAGCAGGGGAATCCCACCGACAGCTGATCATTCATGGGTGGCCAGGGATGTGGCGGCAGCCCGATTCTTAACATCCCGCTACTTATCAGCGGTGAGGAGCCTTTAGGAGCGTTTAGTATTTATTTCTATACAAAAAAGAAAAAAAAACCGGGGAGCCCACCAGAAGTGTAAACTATAGTGAGGTGCCACCAGATATTTATTTCAGGTACTTATATAGCGCCATCAATTCATGCAGTGCTTTTACATATATACTGTATTTTACATTCACATCAGTCCCCGCCCCCGAGGAACGTACAATCTAAGGTCTGTAACTCACATTCATACATACACATACTAGGGACAATTTAGACAGGAGCCAATTAGCCTACCAGCATGTCTTTGGAGTCTGGGAGAAAACCCACGCAGGCACAGGGAGAACATGCAAACTCCAGGAAGGTGGTGCTGTGGTTGGGATTTGAACCGATGACCCGAGTACTGCCAGGCGGAAGTGCTAACCATTTAGCCGCTGTGCTGCCCAGATATACCTGGTAGGATGTTGCCTAAGGCAATACAAGAAAAAGAAAGTAGGCTACACACCTAAAAGGCTTCCCTCAGACTGTTATTTATTGAATGTCAATAAACCAAACAAAGTAAACACATTGCATCGAGGATCCAGAAGCCATCCCGACCATACAACCCCCCCCCCCCCCCACACAGGAGGGAACCTCCCAAAATGAGCACCCCCAAGATGGCACCCAGGGAAGGTGCCCAATCAGCCCCGATGCGTAAACGTGACATTCCCACCACCCCTACAAACTGACCCTCCTCCCCCCTAAGCCACATACAACCCCCCTACCAACTCCCCCAAAAGCCCCCCAACAACCTTTCGGGACACCCAAATACCACGCTCCCCCAGCCCCTTCCCTTGGTGCCATCTTGGGGGTGTTCATTTTGGGAGGTTCTCTCCTGTGTGGGAGGTGGGGGGGTTGTATGGTCGAGAGAGGCTTCTGGATCTTCGATGCAACGTACTTTGTTTTTACTTTGTCTGGTTTTATTGACATTCAACAAACATAGTTACATAGTTTACATAGTTACATAGTTACATAGTTACATAGTTACATAGTTACATAGTTACATAGTTTAGTTCTGGCTGAAAAAAGACAAAAGTCCATCCAGTTCAACCATTAAAAACAAGTTATAATCCTACACCCACAATAGATCCAGAAGAAGGCAAAAACAAACCAGCAAAGCACGATCCAATCTGCTCCTGCAGGGGAAAAAAATCCCTTCCTGATCCCCCGAGGCAATCGGATATTCCCTGGATCCACTTTCCCTATAAATGACAGTTTGAAGGAAGCCATGTAGGTGTGTAGTCTACTTTCTTTTTCTTTTGGTTTTTCTAGTATTTTTTTCTGTCTTACAATTGCTCTCAAAAACGCCAACCAGAGAGCATTGTTTTTACTGCTCCTAAATCCTCAGCGTAATAGACACCTCTAGACTACAAAGTGTGTATGACACGTAGGAGAACATCATCTGCTTCTAGAGGCAGAAAAAACCTCAAAACGCTTCTGCTAGGAGTGTTATTATTATTATTTCAGGTACTTTTCAGGTACTTATCAATTTACGCAGCACTTTAATGAATATAATATTGTACATTCACATCAGTCCCCCCATCCCTGAGTTATTGATGGGAGCGTACAATCTAAGGTCTATATGATTATATTTGCTTTGGAACTACTCACATTCTAGGGATATATTTAGACAGGTACTTATCAATTTACACAGCACCAATTCACCTACCCCCCAGCATGTCTAATTTAGACAGGAGTTTGGAGTGTGGAAGAAGAACATGCAAACTCCAAGCAGGTGGTGGCGTGGTTGCGATTCAAATGACCAGAGTACTGCCAGGCAGAAGTGCTAACTAGAGATGAGCGAATTATTCAAAAATTCGATTCGACGAATTCGTGAAAAAATTTCGATTCGAGGCGAATATATTCGCTGTGAATTTAACTTCTAAAAGGGTGTTTCTAGGCTTCAGAGAGCCTTTATATTAGTGCTGAACACTGTACCTTTAATTTAAATGCCCTTGGAGTCTGCTGGGGAAGAGAAATAATACTGTCAGTCAGTATGACATGCAGATGAGTGCCGTCGATCTTAGAATCACCGCACACTTCACTCATTTGGGCAGTCACGGGGCCAAAACCAGAGTGTGGAGCCACAGTGTGGCGGTGGAGGCAGCAGCAATGGGAGGCCATACAGCACCCTATGACAAAAATGGAAACCACCAGCAGTGTGAGGAGACCTGAAAGTGGCACATGGCAGAGTGTGGCGATGGAGACAGCAGCAATGGGAGGCCGTACAGGGACCCATGAGAGACTCTGGACCTGGCAGCAGCATGAGGAGGCGGTACAGGGGCCCATGACAGATTACGGGCCTGGCAGCAGCATGAGGAGTAGGTACGGGGGCCCATGGCAGATTACGGGCCTGGCAGCAGCATGAGGAGGCGGTACAGGGGCCCATGGCAGATTAGGGGCCTGGCAGCAGCAACTTGGACAGGAGGACGTTCAGCTTCTGCACCGTCGGGTGCGTGCTCGCAAACTGTTGTCTCTTGGAAACGGATTCCAAGAAAGACTGCTGACGGAATCCGTGAAGAGGAGTAGCAGGAGAAGGAGCATCTGAACGAGCGGAATATGCCAACAAGCGACAACAGGGGCCCATGACAGATTACGGGCCTGGCAGCAGCATGAGGAGTCGGTACGGGGGCCCATGGCAGATTACGGGCCTGGCAGCAGCAATGGGAGGCCCGTAATCTGCCAGCACCCTATGACAAAAAATGGAACACACCAGCAGTGTGTGAGGAGACCTGAAAGTGGCACATGGCAGAGTGTGGCGATGGAGACAGCAGCAATGGGAGGCCATACAGGGACCCATGAGAGACTCTGGACCTGGCAGCAGCATGAGGAGGCGGTATAGGGGCCCATGGCAGATTAGGGGCCTGGCAGCAGCTATGGGAGGCCCGTAATCTGCCAGCACCCTATGACAAAAAATGGAACACACCAGCAGTGTGAGGAGACCTGAAAGTGGCACATGGCAGAGTGTGGCGATGGAGACAGCAGCAATGGGAGGCCGTACAGGGACCCATGAGAGACTCTGGACCTGGCAGCAGCATGAGGAGGCGGTATAGGGGCCCATGGCAGATAAGGGGCCTGGCAGCAGTTATGGGAGGCCCGTAATCTGCCAGCACCCTATGACAAAAAATGGAACACACCAGCAGTGTGAGGAGACCTGAAAGTGGCACATGGCAGAGTGTGGCGATGGAGACAGCAGCAATGGGAGGCCGTACAGGGACCCATGAGAGACTCTGGACCTGGCAGCAGCATGAGGAGGCGGTATAGGGGCCCATGGCAGATTTAGGGGCCTGGCAGCAGCTATGGGAGGCCCGTAATCTCTGCCAGCACCCTATGACAAAAAATGGAACACACCAGCAGTGTGAGGAGACCTGAAAGTGGCACATGGCATGAGACACT